AAAACTTATAAAAGTAGGTAGCCATAGGGCAGAGCGAGAAGCGAACCGATTTTCATCAACAACTCTGCCATTCAATGATCGACAGCTTGCCCTATAATAGACCGATGCGCATTTTGATTTGATGGATAGGAAGATCGTGGGATATCCTAGAAAACAAAAAAAAAACTAAAAAAAAGTGGAAAAAATTGAAAATGGGTATATAGCGATTCATGAGCCGTAACATGTGTATGTGAAGAACCGAACCGGGAAAAGAACCCGAAAACCGAAAACCAAAAACCAAAACTCGAACCAGAGGCGCAAAACGTTCAGCAGTTGTTCACGAAGACCCCTCTTCTGCCTTTTGTTGTTGTTGTTGTTGTTGTTGTTGTTGTTGTTGTTCCTCCCCTTCTTCCCCCCTCCTCCCCTTTCTTCCGAGCTTTCATCTCCATCATCATCCCCGCTCTCCTCCTCCCTTTCACCTTTACTTCCCCCATTATTTCCGCCCTTCTCATTCCCCTTCTTGATACTGATCAAACACCCCTGCTCCTTGAGCCGTTTCGTCAACGGCGTACTGGCCTTCATGCCCGGGAAATCCTTCGCATTATACACCTGGAACGGCTCGCTCATGGCCGTGGCCACGATGCTCGATCGATCGCCCGCCATCATGCGTGCAGGGTCCAGCACCACCAGCGCAAACTTGAGTCTGAAAATGCCGGGCGTGCGACAGCTTAGATCGGGGAAGCAAAAGAAACACCCTTCCTCGCCGTTCTCGTCTTGCCCGACAAAGGGCGAGGCTACCAGAGTGCCCATCAGCCGGCGCTGCTGCCGGAAGTCCTCAGGCATGCTGCTCATGTCCTTGATGCCTGTCTCGTCCCAGATGCTGCAGTGGATGACGCTGAACTGGTGTCGCAGCAAGCGGGAGTGCTCTTCGCGCGAGAGCGTGTCGTTGTGGATGGTTAGTTGCACGATGGGTGGTGGGTCGATGACGCGCCGGTCGCGCTCGCCGAAGCCGCAGCTGCGGGCGGCGAAGGGCTGTTGGCGGACCGAGATTCGGTAGTCGGTCTTTTTGCCTGAGTTGGGCGGTGGCGGGACCGGGTTCCCGGTGTTTCGGGTGTTGTCGGTGCTTATGAGGTTGGATATACTCATGGGCCGGGATTCCTGCCTTGGAGAACCGCCTTGCTGGGAGCTTGATGGGGTTTGTGATCCCTCGGGTGGTGGGGAGCTGTTGCTGTTGTTATTGCTGGTGTTGTGGTTTTTTTCGGGTGCAGATGCTTTCCGTGTCATGGTGGAATGGCTGAATGACTCCTGCCTTAGTCGTGAGGGTTGCTGGTGGAAGGGTGGCCAAGATGGTTCAATGTGCGCCTGATGATAGTTGCTCATTTGCCTTGAACGAGACTCGTAGGTGGACTCCACGGTTGACCTGTCACTGGCAGCAGTGGAATAGGCCGGAGAGAGACGGCCATCTGGTTGTCTTCCATGATGAGAACGAGCCTCGTTATATGTAACTGGGAATTGAGGAGGTGTTTGTCCCACTGGTGAAGGGGTTGGGTAGTCTGAGTAGTAAGTCCGGCCATGGCCTCGATAAGCTGAATCGCAGGAAGAGGAAACAGGACTAGGACCAGTGGGTATTATGGTGGTCACGGGAGGCAGCCTGCGTTGTTGCTGTTGACGATACAAGTGCGGCTGTTGTGATTGCTGTTCTGGCGTGTAGTGTACGTGCTTTGAGGAGTAAGCTTCGTGATGAGCGTGAAGTGATCGAGACATGGTGGTGAGGGTGGGATTGGTGCTAAAAGCGTGATGAGAAAACTCGGCAGCAGTAGACATTGAAGAAAGAGGACATAGGACGGCGGGGAGCCCGATGTGGTTATGGGTTCTGTAAGCAATGTCAGTCAAGGGATCTTCTAGGTCGGCGATCCTGCTGTGTTACAATATGGCAACAGCGAAGCAAAGAGCGAAGGAATGCAGATGGAGCCGGTTCTGCTTCCGACCAACAACCGATACGAACCCGGATAACTGGGTTCTGGGATGGAGCATGGGCTGTGTATGTCTTACATTGGGAGAACAATAGGTCCAGCCAAGACAGATGCCAGCAGTGCAGGCGTCTGGTGTTACATGCAAGGCCGTGGGTATACTTGGCGGCTTCCGGCTTCCAGCTTCCAGGAAGTGCGAACGAGGCCGGCGGAGATGGACAGGTGTGTATTGTGCAGATATTGTGAGGTTTCGCTTGGACGAGATGTTGGGTAACCTCTACTTTGAGTAGCCGAGTGATACTGGGGGGTATCGAGCAGGATGACAGCCCAGTGCGATGGCCCCCTCGAGGTCACAAAAACCACTGTTGTAGTCGAGTGTGTCGGTGTACAGGTGTATGTGTATTGATTCTGAACGACGCTGTCTTGCTGGTTTATTCGAGGACAATATGGCCAAAACGGGCGGCATGCAGGGGCGAGGCGCTCATGTATAAAATGCGCTTAAGTGTGATGCTGAATGGTTGAAGGAGCAGATCCAAGACTGTCAACTGGACTGCTTGGAGATGTGATGTCTTTATTATTGTAGGGTTTGGACTGATGTAGGAACAGATAAGCTGACGAAAAGATATGAATGCAATGTAGCAAAGCCAGGGTGGTTAACAATTGGGGAGATTAAAGAGAGGCCGATATTATGAAGAGAGCATGATGGATATTGCCTTGGCCGGCACTTTGAGGGACGGGGAAGAATGGAGAGGGGGTGTTGAGGCTATCCTAAGTACCGCGTCTCAAGAGAAAGAGGGACGAATAAGAAAAAGGGCTGTAGATTGCCTAGCAGGGATTCCAAAGTCGGCCAGGGGGGAGTCGATCAGTGACAATCCAGAAAGCGGGTTAATGGGTCGGGAAATATCATATGCAGCTTTGGGGGTCTTTTTCATCCTGACACTGTCCTGATGTTCTGACTGCTGCAGCATGGAAACGCGCAAGATTTGGTGTGGAAGGCGTGGAAGTCAGCAAAAGTAAAGGGGAACGATTTGAAATGGAACAGCTATCGGGGCCGGGCAAAATGTCCGTTCTACCAAGAACTTTGAGAGGCCCTGATCTGCATTGTGCTTGTCGTTGGTGGTCTGTACCTTGTACATCCTACGCCTGTCTGATCACGGATTAGAGAAGAAAAGGACAACGGTGACAATGAACGATGACGGTCTCCATCTGTAAGTACCCTTGGAGGATCCGCGCTACGGGTAGCCCGGCGTCGACGATGAAAGGCTGTCGAACAAGGGGGTGGGTCGTTGACTCAGTAACGGGGGTGGTGTTACTGTGTAAACAAGGGGATAAGCAATGGAGCAAGGGGTGCGCAGGTGGTTTCCCCAGGCACGTCACAATCCACACCCAGCCAGCACCGCGGACTGGTTTTAACAACTGGTTTTAACAACTGTCATGGTAAGACCTCAAAGAGGGCCGAGAGAAGAAATGAGATGTTGGCTAGTCACTTGGAGTGGGACATGCAGAGCCAAAATCTAAAGGGTCCATGTTGAGGTCTCAGATCTGGAATGGAGTCAGTAATGATTATGGCCTGAGTTTGGAACAAAAGATGCCGTTCTTGCAGCAAACTACCATAAAGGTCTCGATAGCGCAACAATGCCGTCGAATGGAAACCAAGATCATGATCCTTCATCACTCACCTAACCTCGTGAGCCCTGCCGCCATCCTCTCTGATGGTCATGTCATGCCATTGGATGCTGTTGACAAAGCATCTTGTGGTTCTGCAGGCGAAACCACTGAAATCACTTCGTTGAACGCTGTGCTTGGGGGTTTTGCACTTATGAGAAGCCAGATTGGGGGTGTCACTGCAACTGGGACTGTGAGTCTGTGACCGAGACTGTGGTCCTTTCGTCGGCTTGTAGCGCCCGAAAACCTGGATCAACAAACGTCTTTGAAAAACTACTCATGGTGCTCCGACTTTGGCTATCTAGCTGATGCTAGCTGATGGGGAAAGCCAAAGGATAGGTTGGTTGAAGAGAGCTGAGGTCCAAGTTCATAAGTACAACAAATAAGGCCACAACTAACTGCCATGGCGAGGTGTATGATCCCAATCATCCCACATGGAAACGCCACTGGGCTGTTGAGATGAAGTGGTCAAGCTGAGATGGCTCTACACCTCTAGCTCTATGAGTGATGGTGTGAAATTGGTTTGGCAGTGGAGAGTGAGGACGGGAGACGGGATGCTCAGAGAACTGGAGTGCAAGTGTGAAAGACCTCGGGGCTGGAGGTGCGGTTAGGTATAAAACAGAAGTGCGCCCTCCCCCGGCACGTGTCCACCTGGGTACATACGAGGGGGCCCCGGAGATGCAGCAGTAGCGAGCCCCCTTGAGCCAATCTGAAGGGCAGATCTGTGAGCACACCTGCTAGATGGCCGTCGATGAGATCCAATGTTGCCAGCCGGCCGGATGGAGTGCGAGAAAAGACAAGCCAAGGGCCCCCATTCTGCCCCATCTCTGCTGACCTGGGGCTGTCTCTTTCCACTTCCGAGTTCCGACTGGACTCCTGTTGAGGGGGTTCACACTGCAGTGCAGTGCTTGGAGCCTGCTCTCGTCTGCGGCTTGTTACATGTTCTTTCCTCATTCTGGTTGTTTGCTGTTCTGCTCCTGCTTCAAGTGGTCGACATGATGAGCGGGCGGTCAGTCTCTTTGGCTGCAAAGGGGAAAGAGCGATGAGGGGGCCAAGTGGAAGGAGTGTTCATCCGGTCACACGCACCGAACTGGGTCTCAGTTAAAGTTTGCTCAGCGTTGCACTCCAGCACTCACCCGCATTTACTAGCGCACTTGCCAGGGAGCCCAGAGAGGCACAAGTGGAAGCTTGCACTCGCAAGGCACCGAGCGACAGGGAAAGGAAAGATCCCCCGGGACCCACTTTTGCTTGCGGTTTGCTACTACCAACAGCCAAGAGAATTGATTGACCCCCTCTTCTCTTTCCACTCCCTCACTCGCCTCACTCCCACTGCACTCACTGCCTGCACTCGGGCTCTGTTCCGTCTTGTGGTGTCTGACCCCTGCCTTTTTGCTGTTTCCATTTTCCTCCCTTCCTCCTCCCAACCTCAACCATCCACTCGATTCTTCACGATCCAACCCAATCCAATGCAGCAGCAGCATACCCGGGATATTGTTCAGGCAACCAATACCCGAACGGACGCCAATACGTACACACACTTCATGTTCCTCGGCATCTCGAAACTGATGACCCGTCCATCCACTCTTTCAACTCAATCGGCCTTACATCAATGGACGATACTGATGTTCATGATCGAGATATGAGCATATGGGCTGCCGCCATGGACAACATTCAACCACTCATGAGCCAGTTTCTCCTCGCCGGTCTCCTCGTGTAGATCGTACCCTACCTAGATGTGCATGGTCAGTGGTGGAAACTGTACAAGTTGACACCCCTCAACACCAAAAGTTTCAGTCAAGGGGAATGGGGGTGGACAACGGCAGGAAAACACCCAGGATTCGAACCCGGTCAGAGATGCCCGGCAAGGCACACTAAAGCGGATAAGCATGCGAACAGGAACTCCTTCACACACAGAGGTCCAGCCCAGCCCAGGTGCGTGGGATTTCCAGACTGCTGGTCCCTACCTGCCCAAAACCTCTACCCGTATGCAACAATGCAGTAGATGATGCTGGGGTTCAACACCCTCTTCTTTCCAGACTATCCAAGCCACATTCTACCGACACCCGTTACGTCGACAGCATGTGAATAAACCCCCTCCTCCTTGGACTATATCCTCGCCAATCCGCGGTGGCCACGCAATGAACCGGAGGACTCGGCGAAGAGGCCCTCGTTGGTTTCGACAAGAGCCTCGTCTTCCTCGAAAACAACAACACCATCCCAGTCGACCGTCGTCACCCGCGCTTTACATCCCCGGGGCCCTGGTCTCACAAAGCAGGAAGGCTAGAAAACGAGGCTAGTAGTCGAGTCCTGGGTGCCGGTGCTTGTGGCCAACATGCGCGCGAGTGACTGTATCTGTCGCTTTGGCTGCCTTGTTGCTCTCCTAGTCCTCGGTCGACGTCGTCAGCCCACGATCCAACCACGAGGGACCCATCTGCAACTACCATCTTGTGTCTCCTCCTCACGAAATGGACCTGCAGGATACCAGCAAACCAGGCAAAAAGGGTCCAAAAGCCGTCATCCGACTCTAGCTGGGCAAATAACAGGTTCTTGATGTGCCGATCCCCCGGCTGCCTCGGCCACTGGGGACCTCAATATCTGCTGCCTCAACCCAACTGCGTTTGTCTCGACAAGCATCATGCTACTATGGTCCGCGGGCTTCCTCGGGGTTTGTCACTACGGCGCAGTATGCACCTCCAGAACGCCTGTCAGCGCCAACACAAATCACTGGCGGCGATGTGCACAGGGGTGCTGTTGACTTTGAAGCGGCTCGAAATGGTTCGCTTCAGATACGACCCTGGTTCCCGGTTTCTCATTCATCCCCCGCGACAGGACCCGGAAACTCGGGGGGTGGGGGGGTATACAGGGGGCTATTTATTGCGGCTGCAATATGGTTAATTCAAAATCGCTTCTCTGGAGACGTTACGATGTGTAACACGAATATGCCCTTCCGTGGCATACACATCGAACCCCAGTCGTCTGTTGGCTTCTACCCTGGATCGCGGACGAAAAGGAGTAATTTATCTTACGAGTTACCATCGCGACATGAGGACTATGTTCTGGCAAACTCACCTCGGCTCTATAGCTTGGCAAGCTTAGAGTAGGCAAGTGGCGGCGAGACGAGAAATTTTT